AAGAATGCACCCCTGGCAAATCAGTCTACGTATGCCAGAACTGCGATGCGGATGATGAGTCTGACTAGTGAGGAAATTTGTTTCTCAGGTTTTGTTTGAGTTTTTATGAATGGATCTTCCAGTTGTTGTTGGAACTATGTCCACATTTCAGGACTGGTTTAAGTTTGATAATGAACCAATACTTTCTTTTATTGTAATTCAATTCAATCTGGCATTTTGAGCTTGAGAAAGGTAAAAGACATTTGAGTCTGAGAGCCATAGCCTACGTGCCAGCAGTTCCTAAGGACTTTAATCCTGTGCATGTTGCATAACATTTTATGTTAACATTTGTTCAATGGCTTTTTCAAGCTCAATGATAAACACTTTCTGTGCCTGACTTTAATTTTCACTTTCAAGTAAAAAAGAACAACAATAATTTTGTCCTTGTTTTATTAGTTGCAAAATCCAGTGTGACATCTTACCCCATATAGTCAGACAACTTACCCGATGGTGGGGCAACATGTCACATGTTCACACTCTCTATTTGTTTGCTTATAACTCTGCACTGACACAATAAATGAAAATGACATGAATATAAAATATATACCTGAGACTTTGGTCTTTCATCTGGTACACATTTTTTTTTTTTTATATGATGTACTGATTCCAAAAAATATATAAGAGTGTAAAAAGTGTGACAACAAGCCCCGGTCTTGAAAACCTGAGTAAAATGAGAGATGAGGAAAAAGAAAAGACAAAGACATAAATAGTGAAGATGTAAAATATAGGAATAAAATAGAATATACCTTCATGAGTAGTAGTAGAGTAATAATTCAATATTACATATTGAAGATAATGTTGAAAAGTTTAATTAGCGTTTAATTAAACATGATCTACTCAGAAGCAAAAGCAGCAATACCACTGTGTAGACATAAACATACACAAGGACCAAATTTTGATTTCAGAGGTGGGGGGCACACAAGTATTTTTAATAAAATTAACTCTTTCAGTTCACTCTGTTTTCTAGTTTAGTTTAGTTTTCTATTGCTACTTTTAAGTTTACTGTTCCCTTTTTTGGTTTGACTGGTTGTAAAGCTTGTAGCAAAACATGATCACCCAAATCTCTGTTTTACCTTGTTAGTCAACTTCACTCCAACTCAGTACCACCAATTTTACACTTATTTTTGGAATATATGATAAACAGACCTAGACATAGCACCACCCAGTGGTTGGCAGGTCAAACTGGCAGGAATATCACAGGTGGGGAGAAATTGAATAAAATGTCCATAATTCAGTGTAAGTAGTCAAGTAATCAATTTTATTTGAAATTAGTGTAACAGAGAACCACTGTCATTTTTAGGCAGTTATATGGAAGAAAATCCTATTTTTGATGTAAATGAAAAGTGAACAAGGGTCAATTTGACCCAAAGACCACAGAAGGGTCAACATAATCAACTCATCCAAAGCTTCCAAACACATGTTGTCGTCGATCATTGGCAGAGATAAATTCCTGGCAGAGTTTCTTCCTGTCCAAGGCATCAACCCTTTCTTGGTGTATGTGACAAACTGCCACATTGTTCACGCGTTTCTGCTTCATGCAGTTGCAAAGCCAGGTCTTTAACCTCCTCAGTGCGCTGAAACTCCTCTCAGCTTCAGCAGACGATGTTGGAACAACCAACAACAGCCTCACAAGGACCTCCACCTGATAAAAAAGACCTCTGACTTCAGGCAGCATGCCTCTCAGGATGTCTGCAGCTTCTGTGCTATTTATATTTCTACTAATTTTATTATTTATTATTACTAGTGCAGTGCCCGGAGGAAGTATGTATTGCTATAGAAAAGTGGGAAGTTAAGTAGCTTTTTCATGGATGGCCAAATGAGGTTGTGTTTGAAGGTGGGACGTCAGGGACATTTAGGCTTGTTGTGAAATGTGTAGATTGATAACTATTGTGTTTTCATATAATTTGGCTTTTAGCAAGGACACTGTAGGGAGTTGAACCCCATTCCACTAAAGTACCACACCTCATGGTCAGCGCATATAAATTCTGAAAGAAAAAAGTGAACTACATCTGAAATGGGATGAAACCTGGCAGCATAAACAGACTAACTTGTAGCATAGCCTACTAAATTAACTGGGCAGGCCATATTATTTAGCCCTACAATATAGGCTAGCATACATCAGAGAGAGAGAGAGAGAGAGAGAGCGAAATGGCAGTAAGGGTTTCCACATCAAAAAATTTTTTTGAAGCTACCAAAATGATGAGGATACAAAATTAGTAGTGGAAGTCTGAAGAAGCAGAGCGTGGGGACAGGGACAGTAGCCCCATTCACACTTCCGTTTGCATGCGGGGATCCAGCGCCAATTCTCCGCACCCTCCTCTGTGTGAAAGTTTCAGATGCGGCGAGGGGGGTTTGTAGTATCAGGGACGCATTATTTTTGAATCGCCTCCAGTGTGAACAGATAAGCTGACAGTGTGGAGCGAGGGCATGACGGTCAGACAGTCTGATAACTGCACAGATCTCTCACCCAACTTAATAAAGAGAAATGTCCCACAAAGCAACGTTACAGGACCAAACAACGGTAACGTAGTAACTGTAACTGTCTTTGGCAACTTACATGAGGAAAAAAAATACCACCGCTGTACGTGGAGAAGTGTCTGTCCTCCCGCCTGTCCTACCGACTCTTCGTCACATTTCTGCTCGAAAAACAGTGTCTGTCACCGCCGAAAAAGTGTTTGTGATCAAAAATCACCAAGACCACCAGCCCTCCGGACCGAGACATCAGTTGACTTTCCACTGGAAAACATTCTCCGTCTTTCGAGTGAGGGAGTCAGACAGCGTCCAGTTTACTGCTGGTGATGATGTATAATTATGTAATTTAGAGTGAAAAACGTAACTTCGTCACTTTCCAGGATGTTTGGTGGGTCAGGATCTCAATCCCTACACATTAGGGCTCTGCAGTGATTGGCTCTGGTGTGCACATGGCTATGGTTGACAATGCTAGTGGAATTCGTAAATCATTTATGAAATAATTTATTAACGGTATCTTTGTAGTCCAAACAAAGCCGACGTTGCACACCCTTAAACCACACAGCAGCCATGTTGAAAGTCTCAGGTCAGTCTGATCCTGATCTGCAGAGATATTTGAGGCACACAGACACACACACAGACAGACAGAGATTTCTTGCTTTTATAGAGAGATTATTTTATTATATATTTATATTGATGCATGACATGAACAGTGGGACAATTTGGGGTGCAACAATCATCAATTGATACGTATCATATCATATTGATGATACGGTTATAGAGGAAAAAACTTTTCACAATCATCATGAGTTTGGATGTATAAAATCACATTTGTCATCTGAGGTTTTATTGTATTTTTCCCTAAATCTTTCATTGTTGATGTTTTTTTTAAACAGTTGCCTTTCAACATAAAATAAGAAAATAAGTGTATCTCTTTGGCATTAAATATAAGCTTTTTTTAAATCTTTGAATTGTTGAGGCTCTACAGTTATAATAATAATAATAGTAATAATAAAAACAATAATAATACATTTTATTTATCAGCACTTTAAGACACTTTAAGACAAGATTATTGAGAGCTTTGTAATTGATGAGGAGGATCTTGAAGTGGATATGCTGCTTTATTGGGAGCCAGTGAAGGTGCTGCAGGATGGGTGTAACGCATTTCTTTGAGTAACTTACACTTTGACTTCTAAAGAAGTCTCTTACACGCACGCACATACGCACATGGACACCGATTCAAACGTTAATGTAAATGAAACCTCTGATATTACAATCCTTCTAACTGACGTGACCCAGGCAGAACAAACGCCCAATTTACAGTGGCAGATTAATAAGGACTCCTGGGCAACTAGCAGACCGTTGTGCAAGCAAGATGGAGTGACAGCGGGGACGGCTAATCACACGAGAAACGGCAGAGCCAATCGGGGAGCTTGTGGGCGGTCTAAACTAAGGGAAACAGGCTTCAGCTTGAGCGGCCGTTTTTGGCTTGGTCCTAGTGCTTGATGTGTCTCTGTTTACTACAGCGTAACATTGTTTTTGGATGCTAAAAACTGCAGGGGACCAAAACGGCCTTTTGAAAAAATGCAAGGGACATGTCCCCTGTGTCCCCCCCCCAAATTACATCCGTGAACATACACTGTAAGTGCAGAATAGCCCTTTCAAAATAATATATATTATATGATTGGATTATAATTGAGGTATTAGTATGTTCATAACTTTAATTAAGGTAATTAAATTAATCAAGTTTAACAACTGACTAAAGTAACTAAATGTAGTGGAGTAAAATGACAATATTTGCCTCCAAAATGTAGAGTGGAAGTATTAAGTACCTCAAAATGGAATATACTCAAGTAAAGTACCTCAAAATTGTACAGTACTTAAGTAAATGCACTTACATTCCACCACTGGTTATTCTACATTTTGCCATTTAAATTAAATTTTTTATTGAAAACGTTTATCAGCTCCAAATATCGGTTTCCGTGATTACTACTTGTAGGTGGGTGAGTATGCACATGGATGTGGGTTACATATGTAGGTATGCATCGTTATTTATTTATTTGTTTTTAGATCTCTTTTAAATACACAGAGGATAGATTGCTCAACCAATTTCGTTGTAACATCTGTGGCAATAACAATAAAGGACTTCTGATCCTGATTCTGATTCTTATGGGTATCAGCCCTGAAAAAGCAATATCGGTCGATCCTTAGTAGAAATATACATACACACATAAACATATACAGTATATATATACACATACACATACGCATACGTAGATTCATACACATGTAAACAGGTTAGCAATAAGTAAGTAGTATGAGGTAATGTGCACCAGTTTGCAATGAGCTCAAGAGTTCAGCAGTCTTAAGGGATTAAGCTGTCCTGAGCCTGATGTTTTGGGACCTCACGATGTCAGATATACATGGAGTGGATGATTATTTACAGTAAACACATCATAATGCGAGTGCTCTCTGTGTCCCTGTGTGTGCAGTGGTGTCAGTGTCCTTCGACAGAGAGTCCTCGATGACCTTTACCTTCCAAGAGCCTTTCTCAGTGATGCAGAACAGAAGCTCCCAGGCCTCCAGTGCTCGCAGAGAAAGCATCAGCAGGGCCAGAGAGGATGTGGCCTTCACCTTCATCACCTCCCAGAGCCCAGCCCTGCTGCTGACTGTCAACACCTTCAGCCAGCAGTACGTCGCTGTCATCCTGACTCACAACGGTAGGCACGTCTGACTTTTCACAGGACAAGCATTTATAAAGAGACAAGACAGCAAGTCGCCAAGTGCTTGCTCATGGTGGGAACTGTTGGGTCTCTGTAGATAATCCAATCCAATCCAACTTTATCCGTAAGCATTTTAAAAACAACCAAAGTTGACCAAAGTGCTGTACAGGAGAATAAATAAGACATCATAAATGTAAACAGTGATGGTGATGATGAAGACCACTGTGAGGAATATAGACAGTGATGGCGACAACACTGGAAAGCCACCGTGGCAGACAACACGGACGAAGTCCGACAGCAACGAGCTCGATGTCCAGGCTGCAGACACGCTCTTTCACACAGACGTGCCCGGCGTTACACCACCTGTTGTTTATGAGCACTGACAGTCCCCCTCCTTTCTTCATGCCGGTCGCGGTGGTGTCCCTGTTGGCTCGAACCGTCTGGAAGCCGGAAATGGTGACGTTGGAGTCCGGTATCTGCTCGTGAAGCCACGTTCATAGGGTTTAAAACTCCTCTTCTTCATCCTCCGTTTAACCCCCACTCTGCAGCCGTCTCCTCACCTCCTCCGGTATGTAGGGTCTCTCTCCAGTCAGGATGCTAGGGTACCTCAGGGCGATCATCTGGTCGCAGGTGTAAACAATGCGACTCGCCGTCACCACGGAGACCCGTGCAAACAAAAAATAAAAAGTGCTCAAAAACGCCAAAAAAGTATTTAGGCGACGTGAACAAAGTAGTAAGAAAGTAAGAAAACAGTTAAAAATAGCTAAAAACACACTGAAAACACACTAAAACTACAACAATGATAGGAGCTGCCATGAGAGCTGCCGTTGTCGCTGAATTGTGGGTGTTAATTAATGTTCTTCACAAAAACAATCAATGAATGTGTAAACTAAACTACCAAAGGACAAAGGAACGACTGGAATATTCCTATAAAAGAAAAGAAAAAAACTCACATATGTTACGGCCGCCGCTTTAGTGTATATTCATTATGGTGTTCCATGTGATTCCCTGTTGAGGATTGGTCCTTCTGGAGCAGAGACCACCTACTTCCTGGTTGCTGTCCCCTGGCTTCAGTGATTGGTGTGGCTGCAAGTCCACTGAAGCTACCAATCAGGAGACTTCAATTAACCCCAGCTGCACTTAAATAGCTTCTGTGTCCACAGTTCAGGGCGGCTGTGAACCAGTGATCAGTTCGCCTTGCTGTTGTTTGCACACCATTGTGTTAGTGTTTGTACTTTCTAGTGTTGCCTGGCTGCTATCTGAGTGGATTCAGCCAGTGCCTTTGTATCTTTTGTGACCCTTTAAGTTGTTCAGTAATTGCTAGTTTGGTTTTGTTTCTAGTTTGTAAGCGTATGGGTGCTGATCTCTTTTTGTTCTTCAGTATTATCCAGTCCTTTTCATTTTTGTACTAGTTGTTTGTCAGCACCTGTATAGCCTCTCCTTTGTTGTATTTCATTGTGCAAGCATACTCTCCTTAATTAATTAAAACTACTGATTTTAACCTGAACCTGTCAATTGTTGTATTCCATCTCTTTTTCCAATTCCAATTATATGTTACTGCTCCCCAAATCGAGCTGGGTCGTAACACATATAATACTTATAGTAATTGTATTTACCCAGTAGGCAGAGTCTGCTATTTCAAAGACATACCAAAGCATTGGAAAACATGTTATCATCATGGTATTTGGTACAGACATATAGCCTGTGTGCATTCATTCTGCAGCTGCTTTATTGAGGTATTTAATCATTAGAAGAAAAAAAAAATTGCAACCTCGGCTCTCATTCTTAACATTCAAGAACACACACTCAGATGGACTCAGATTGGATTCAAAGGTTTGCTTTCATGTTTGTGTGCAGGAAGTCTGCAGATCTGGTATCATCTGCAGACACACAGGACCCCAGACGTGTTCAGTCCCATCCTCAGCAGCCTGGCAGACGGACAAATCCACCGAATCAGAATCCACCGTGAGGGCAAAGACCTCTATGTACAGGTGAGCAATGGACATATTAAGTCATTCATGTGGACATGCAATGAGCTCTCCTGTCTGTTATTAACTGTGTTTGTATGTTCATATTCTGCACCGGGTTCTACTACAGGAAAGTTTCTGAGAACAACACAATAAAATTTAGCCATAATCTCAATAACATCATGTTGGTAGAGCCACACTCTACTGTACTATAATTAAAATGTGAAGCTCCAGATAACCTTTGGACAGACTTGTTAAAAAAGATGACAGTCACCTCTTGCCCTGGTTACACAGTGTTTTGGACAGAAACACCAGGAGAGGACTAGCAAAGACAAACAGTCTTTAGAGAGTTATTAGCAGAGAAGTTTAATTTTTTGTTTGTTATTGAACTGAGTAAATTATTGTCAATGTTTTAACGCATGTTAATTTACAGTATACTTCAGAATAATTAATCAGCAAAACTTTGATGGTTGTTTTGGTTATTGGTTGACAGTCTGGTGCTTGATATAGAAAATGTAACTAGTTAATCTGCCATGTGTAATTGTGTTTTTTGACATAATTACTCCAATTGACCCTTTTCCTCTTTGGAAACCACAGTCAACTTTCTGCTAATGTTAGCAAAACACTAGCTAATTGCCTCTCCTCTCACTCTGCGGCACGGTCACTCACCATGATACCACACCAACAGGTCAAGGAAATAACTAAAGAAAATTCAGTGAGACATATTGTTCCACACCATGTGCATACAATCCTCAGGCCTCCAATGATCTTTTTCTTTAGTTAATGCGAGGCGTTTCAATAGGATTCAGTAGGAACAGATCGTGGCTCATATCTGAGTTGCTGTTTGTTAAGGGGTATGTCAGTCTTGAGCAGGAAGTTCAAGTATTATTATTCAAAACAATTTGAGTAAATCCATTTATGAGAAAGCAATAGAGAAATAAAGAAAGAAATAGGAATAACATTTAAAGTAAAATGTACAACTTTATGTAATATAACTGCTGGGACAATAATAAAAAAGGCCTGTAATACTATTAAATTAGTAGCATCTCCAATATTCCAATATTATTTATATAATTCTATTTAAATAACATTGAACACTGACAAAAAACAGTATTAATTCAATTAAATTAAATTTTATTTGTAAAGCGCCAATTCATAACAGAACTTATCTCAGGACACTTTTCGAATGGTCTAGACCGAACTCCTGGTAACATTTACAGAGACCCAACAGTACCACCATGAGCAAGCACTTGGCGAAGGGGGCAAGGAAAACCTGCCTTTTAAGTGGCAGAAACCTAGGACAGACCCCTCGGCTCTAGGTAGGTGGTCGTCTGCCTCGACCAGTTGGGGTGAGAGAGAGAGTGAGAGACAGGCAGGGGCAGGCAGACAGACAGACAGACAGACAGACAGACAGACAGAGGTGCACAGCAACAACAGCAGCACAACAACCACACTAATAGTGACTGATGATGATGAACATGAAGAAGATGATGGCGACGACAACAATTGAGCTGAGCGTCTGAGTCAGCATGTTAGTGGAAGGTCTGAAGCACTTAAAAGCTAATTGTGGGCTGATAGTGGTTTGTGTGAAGCAGTCCAGAACACAATCTCTGATGTATTGCAGTGTCGCATTGCTGTCTTGGTTTAGATTTCTTGTAACCGGCTTTTTCTTTGATTACTTTCCACTCCACCAGATCGACCAGGACATCCACAAAAAGTACACGCTGTCATCTGATGCAGAGCTGATCTTAATCAGATCCTTGACATTGGGCAAAGTCATCAGTAAGTCCTATCATCCTGTTAAGCTTTCCTTGAGAAAAGTCAAGTCAACGGAATGTATCATTTCCTGCAGCCATTTTCTTTCCATTCTTCACTTGGTACTCAAAGATCACTGCACTGTAAATAAGTAGACTTCACCATCAATACCAGGGCATATTTCATTTCTATCCTCACTGCTGCAGCAGTAGAATGGTCTTTAATGCAAGTGAATTAACATCTATTATACAACTGATATAGTGTGTTGTTGTGTCTCATCAAGTGTGTTAATTTTAGTCATGTTCATGTTTAGTGTTTCATGTTTAGTCCTTCCTGTTTTATTTTGTACTCACCTTTTCCCTCACATTTCAGACCCTGACGTCCTCCCTTTGTGTGATTTTCCCTCCTTTGTAATTGTCTGCCCCGCCCCGATTGTTTTTACCTGTTTTCACTTACACCTGGTATAAATAGTCCTTGTCCCCTTTTGTCTTTGTCAGTTCATGTTGTTCAGTTTGTGAAAAGTATTGTCACACGTTCCAGCCAGAGTTCAAGAGTTTTTTCATGTTTTGATTAAGGTTTGTGTGATGTTTTTGATCTCCTTGTGAGCTTTAGTTTTGCACTTTTTATCCTCCTTGTGAGCGCCTTTTGTTTCTTCATTTCTTCCCTCCTTGAGAGCGCTTTTTGTTGGATTGTTTTTTGGACAATAAATACCCCTTTTGTACATTTTCGTCAGTCCCTGAGTCGTGCATTTGAGTCCATCAGAATTGTGTCTTAGGTTGTGACATGTGTGCACAAGGATGCTGGCACGAATGGAAAGTTCATAAAAATACATTCTTGAATAGTTTATGTACCTAAAGGCCTTTTCACAACAGCAGCATTTAATTTTTTATTTAATTTTGACTGCCACATACAGTGTAATCATGCAAACCTGAGACTAATTAGGTTTATCCATAGTAGTGGAGGTAAATAACCCAAGCCACAGCTTAAAAGTTGAGCCACGGTGGCACAGTGTTTTTCCATTGCACAGATTGTTTACTTGGGATGGCATCTAATGTGTTGCCTGCAGCTCATGTAACATCTAACAGTTTATTGTTTCTGTTTGTACTGTTCCTCCATACAATGTTTTAAACAGATCCAGTGAATAGCACAGAATATGTCCATATCTGGTTTATTAGCACCACTAATGTAGCCCGACTGCAACTTAGGGTTTGTTACGTAGAACCATCTGGGAAGTCTTCGTTACAAACTGTTTGGAAAAGGACAGGCACTTAAAAAAAATAACTGGATGATTGGATGAACCATCGGCTTGTCACTATCTATCACAGGCGAACTTCAACCCTCAGTACTGTTCTTAACTCTTCTTTCAGTGAAGAAATACTCAGTTCAAATAGAACTGATCCTAACAGCATCTACGCTAACCTCTTTAGCAGCCGCCATTGTTGTTTTCACGTTAACAGTCACATCATGTGTGACCAGGCTGAGCTCAGCCAATGACAGAAGCTCAACTCACTATACATCATTGCCACTGGCTCCAAAAAAACAACATGGTAATGGGCAAACTCAAGGCTTCAAAACGGTACCAATGGGTGACGTCAGGATAGATTCACACTTGGTTGTCAGGCAGCTACAGTAAATGCATTGTCTGGCAGTGAGGTTAGCATTGCTTTGTTAGCAATGCTACTGTTCAATAGGCCTTTGCTGCAAAATATGTACATTTCTAGTACAATTTTATCACTGGATCATTTTAAAATATTGCAGGGAGGAATAGCAGCTATTCAATAATAATGTGCATGTGTGTGTGTCTTTCTGACAAAGATTAATTGGTTGAAAATCCTTTCACTTTAATCTGTTTGTCTGTCTGTCTGTCTGTCTAGGAAGAGACAACTTCCAAGAGGAGGTACTTTTAGCAGGTTCAAAGGGTTTCATTGGCTGTCTTTCCTCAGTCCAGTTTAATAATGTGGCTCCTCTAAAAGCAGCGCTGCTGAATCGAGGGAGCTCATTGGTCACCATCCGGGGGCCACTGATGCAGTCAAACTGTGGAGCGCTGGCAGACTCCATCACATCCAAAAATCTGCGAGGTAACACACACCCTCAGCCCTCTCAGGCTAAAGACGGGAAGGAGTCAAATGATGCAGACAGCAATAATTTTATGTCAAGGCAACTCGTAACTACTTTTTGGCAGCCAGCAGCTACTTTCTGGGAAGAGTGCTGGGAACACTGCCCCTGCAATCATGCTGTGTTTTTTTACAGCATGATGAAAGTCTGTGGGTTCAGATATATTAGTTACAGGCCAAAACGACAAGTAACAAAAAAGCATTGAAGGAAAGGTTTTTCCCTTAATTATGTTCTTGTCTTTATTGGTTGATTAATCATTTTTTAAAATATGTTGTATGACAAACTCATTCCTGAATTAAGGAGCAAAATGTCTATAAATATGGTACGGTCTGAAGTATGCTGCACGACTTTGAGACATTTGTTATAATCTGTGTCATTATTACATTTTAGGAGTGAATTGAAATCAGTAACCTGAAACCTGTCTGTATAATGAAAGGTATTTCTTATTGTTTTACACTGAGCAGTATATGTTGTAGAGCAACAGAAAGAAAAGAGCACTGCGTATTTACTCATTTTATGAAGTTAATTAATTCTCCCCTCTGCTTCCACAGATCAAACTGCAACAACAAATAAAGATAAGGAGCAGCATGGCCCTGATACTCAGAATGATGTGGCTGTAATAGCAGGTCTGTGTTCCTCTTTTGTGCTTATTTATTTGTCTTCTTCTATAAGTCTTAATCTGCCGCCATCATTCTTTATACTGGTCTGTAGCTCAAGCTCATTTGCACTATAGATTCTACTCCCTCGACTACATTGGTTAGGTATCTTAGTGAATCGCTATCCAGTGCAAGCTCAGTGCGCTTTATATACATATATATATATATATATATAATTTTTTTTTGTATTTGGTGAGGACACATATAACACTGGGCACTGGGCAGGATTTATTCAAATAGAACCCTATGACCACTACTTATATAATTGGGAGTTCAAGCCCCCAGGGAGCACATAGCAAGGAGCCCAGTAGGAGCGTTATTGTTACTCTTCTGTTGGTAACACTGGTACTGCAGCCTACACCCTAAGAGCTATGTAAGTGAAACTGACAGGACAGATATAGACTGCTACATGTACCTCAGACAAAAAATTACACATCCACCAGCAGGTGCCACTATCAAGTGTGTTTTGGCCTATAACTCCCATATAGTACATCTCACATTCGCTAAATTGAGCGGCACCCTGTGATATAGGCCATGCCCATTTCCACCTGTAATTTCTTTTTTTTGCAAAACAGCAAAATATACAAAACCTACTTTTTGAAGGGAGCCAGATCGACACATAGAATCTATGGACCCTCATGATCAAACGTTATAAAATCTTTTTAGATAATTCAAAACATGCCCAAGTTATAAAGGAACAGCTACCTTTAGGTTGCAGTCATAACAGGAAGTGATATCATACATAGGTCAGTCCGATGAACACACAACTCATGTTGCTGTTTCATATTCTTCTGGTCATTGTGCAGCATATAGGACCGTTGATTTTACACCTTCGAGTTGATGATGCATCTGATTAATGCATACAATGCTTAATGCTTGCTTAATGGTTCTAATGCCACTGAGTCTCTATGCAAAATTTGGCGCCAATCAGCAACTATGCAGCACCTTAGTTAGTAAATCGTGAAATATGTTAAAATGACAACCTGTGACTTGTATCACACCCGTGAGCCTGCAGGTCCGACTTACGTCGCCATTGTGGACTGTCAGGTGCAGCTTGTGCCAGGGGGACTTAGAAAGTTATTTGGAAGTTGGTTTCAAAACATGGAAACATTAAACAGTGTAGGGCAGGACAACCACAGAGTTTTTGTACTTGCTCCTGCTAATTTGTGTATTTCCTGGCTGCTCCTCAGGTGTGGTGACAGCGGTGGTGTTCATTGCAGTTTGCATCCTTGCTGTTGTGACCCGTCGACTGTACCTGCGACAGGCCCACAGGAGCAACCACAGCATCAAGGAGAAGGAGCATCCCCATAATGTAGAGACGGGAAACAGGACGGAGCTGCACCTCCAAAATTCTGTCAGGGACAACATGAAGGAGTATTACATCTGACTACATGAAGGAGTACTACATCTGATAACATGAAGGGGTGCTACATCTGGCTATATGAAGGAGTACTATATCTAGCTACATGAAGGACTACTACATCTGGCTACATGAAGGACTACTACATCTGGCTACATGAAGCAGTACTACATCTGACTAATGTATCTGACTACTACATCTGACATACATGACACATACATGAAGGAGTTCTACATCTGAATATACAAAGGAGTACTGCATCTTACATGAAGGAGTACTACATCTGACAGCGGCCAGTGCTCTGCATACTTCTGTCATACATGGGGCAGACAGTTTAGATGTGCTGTTGCAGCATTGCTTAAAAACACAGATCTCTGAGCTCCAGCCCCAGAGGCACCGTGAACACCATGGACCTTCCTGCTGTGTGTGGACGTCACTGTGAAAGATGGAACTGCTTTCAAAGCAGCAAATGAGTAAAAGAGGAAGAACCTACTGCACCTCCGGAATGTGCACAACATCTTCTTACTAACTCCAAATGCTGAATATTTCTCAATTTTAGTAGAATATACTTACTGATACCCGGAAATCAAGAGAAGTAAGATATGCACACCTTAGCTACCGTCCTTTTTAGTTTGGTGGTGAATGTTGTAGTGTTGACAGGGAAGAGGAACAGGGGGCCAGTCCTGTATGAGTGCCTAATTTGTCCACAAGTTTTTCTTTTAACATTTTAGAACTTTTTAAAAAAATTTTATTTAAGATTGGCACCACGGGATTCCCATTTCCATATGCAGGAGCTTGTTATCTTTCAGCATACAATAAAAAAGAAATGGAAATAGAAATAGAAATTTGATTCACTCAATCACATCAGCTATTTGACCATTAGGCCAAGTCTGTATGTTTCTGTCACTGACCTGTTTTGCACTGCACTGTTCAAAGTAGTATAAAAATTAACAGACTAGAAAAACAATTTAAATAATTAAAGCTGCAGAAGGTAACTTTTATTTTAAAAAAAAACTTTTTGTTTGATTTGCTGAAATCATATCCTGAGGGTAGTACATGACAATGATAATCTGTACATTAATCACACTATAGAACTAGAAGGAGGCAGAGGAACCTGATTTTTTCACAGATCATCTGTCTCATGTTTATTTTTTGCTCTGTGCTCCAATAACAGTTTAGCAAGCCTTTCCTGTACTTAGATATGCTATGTGATGCTATGCTATGCTATGCTAATCTATGTTGAAAAGACAGCCACATTTTGAAGATGGATAAAAGATAAACGCAACATACAGTATACATAGTCACACATTAACTTAGCTAATGTTAACGAATCGCTAGCTAACTAGCGAGCTAATCTACATCCATCATCAACTATATAGTTAGCTGCCTAGTTATAAAACAGCTTATGACTGATATAGATTAGCTGGCTAGTTAGTTACAGTTTTGCTTACATTAGCTTGCTATCTTAAGATGTGGCTATACTGTGTATGTCACTTTTATATCCTCTAGGTTGTCTTTTTAGCATAGATTAGCCTTGCACAAAGCATATAAAAATACAGAAAAGGAGAAAGTTGACTAAGGTTCCAAAAAAAGGCGGGACCTAGGAAGGGTCAATTATTTTCAACTCAGAGGTGTACCATATCTACATATTCAATTCAATTCAATTTAATTCAATTCAATTTTATTTGTATAGCGCCAATTCATAACAGAAGTTATCTCAGGACACTTTTCAAATAGAGCAGGTCTAGACCGAACTCTTTAAAACATTAATTACAGAGACCCAACAGTACCACCATGAGCAAGCACTTGGCGACAAGGGCAAGGTAAAACTGCCTGTTAAAAGGCAGAAACCTAGGACAGATCCTCCGGTTCTAGGTGGGTGGTCGTCTGTCTCGACCAGTTGGGGTGAGAGAGAGAGAGAGAGAGAGAGAGAGAGACAGACAGACAGGTGCACAGCAACAACAGTATTGGCAATGGCAATCTAGCAGGACCATGGCAGGAGGCTCCACCAGGATCGATAAGAACCTGCGAGACGAGAAAGCACAAGAACTCCGGGGAAGAAGTGGAGTTAGTAACATGCATTAATGGAACATGAATGAGTGCAGAAAGACAGAGGAAGGGAGGAGCTCAGTGCACCATGGGAAATCCCCCGATAGTCTAGGCCTATAGCAGCATAACTAAGGGATGGTTCAGGACTCACCTAAAATATGCCATAGCCTGCGTGTCCCAATGGAAGGTTAATTTTTTGGTTTAGAGCTGATTAGCTCCACCCCTAGTGACTGAATTCCAACGAGTAACCAGTAGCCAATCAGGTTCACTGTCTCACCTTTAGACTTTTAGTTTTTAGTTTCAATCAGTTTTGTGGTGAAGTCTGCATCTCTCAGTATTGTCAACTAGCAAATCTTACAGCAACAGCCAGTGTTACTGTATCTGTCATTTTTGGCATTACCGAGGCCAATTACGCAAAAGGGCCAGATGTTAGCTTATGATTATCTGTTCATTTATTACTTATTCGGATCAAAGGGATAAGTGTTTTTTGTTTGTTTTTTTGCCATTTTACATGTTTATATATTATATATATATATATATATATAAATATATTATACATATATAATCATTGAGTCATGTCATGTGATTACTTCTCCTTAATGATTTGTACAACTGCAGTTTTATTAGGGGTATATTGTAAAGATGGATAATTTAATAATAAAAGTAAATATTTGTTGTAACATGGTTTTGTTTGAAATTAGAAGATTTTACACCATATAGCCACACATAGCCAAAAGTATGTGGACAACCCTGTTTTCTCTGGTTTGGTCCAAAAGAGGGATATCTTAATGGTAAATGATTGTACTTATGTAGCACTTTTCTAGTCTTTTGACCACCTAAAGTTCTGTACACTTACATGCCATACTCACCCATCCGCACACATTCATACACTTACACTTACGGTAGGCATCAGGAGCAATTTTGGATTTAGTATCCTGCTCAATGACACTTCAAGAGGAGCTGGGGATTGAACTGCCAGTGGACAATCTCTGATTAGTGGACAACCCACTCTACCTCTGAGCCACAGCTGCCCGCTACATTATACTATGATATCTTAGACATCATCATTCCAACTTTTGTGCTTGTCCCTTTTCTGTTTAAACATGACAGTACCCCCACCCCCAACAGGTCCCATACATAAAGCACGGAAGAACATCAAGAAGAACATGACTGGCCTGCACAGAGCCCTGCAGGGCCATAGCCACAACACATTTTTCGAATGAATTGTAAGCATGTTGGTGATCCATTAACTGGCTCCCTGTAAAATCAGTGGCTCCCTGTAAAATTCAGGGGTCTGTCCAAGGTTTCTGCCTCTTAAAGGGAAGATTCGATCCCCGGCTCCTCCTGCCACATGTCGAAGTATCCTTGAGTGAGACTGAACTGAACCCCAAATTGCTCCTGATGCCGTGCATTGGTGTGTGAATGCGTATGAATGTGTCAGTTTCTGTTCGATTGGCTTTGCCATCACTGAGTGAATGTGTGTGAAAGGGTGAATGTGGCATGGAGTGTAAAAGCACTTTGAGTGGACTAGAAAGGCGCTATACAAGTACAGGTCCATTTTTAATTTACCATTTACCTCTGGTTTCCTCACATTTACCTTAGTCTAAGTCCTTCTAGTTGGTTGATCTGATTGCTGGTTCACAGCCACTTCTTTCACAATATAAGCTTACTCGCACTCCACGCAACTCGGGGCGTGCTGCAGCCGCGTCGCGTGCCGTCGTAACACGTGCGGACCAAAACATGAAATTTCACGTAAATCAGCTCAAAATTGCCACGCAGCGCTTACTTCCTGTTGCCGGTAGGTGGCGCTATCACCCTGTCTTAGTATTGTAATGTCGACAAGTTCAGGGCGGGACTGTTGTAACACACGTGAAGTTTCATTGAGATTGGACCACATACACTGAACTTATGAGGACGTGTTCAGGGTGAGACTGTTACAGAATATTTGAAGTTTACTGGAGATTGGACATTGCACACTGAAGTTATGAGTGCTGTTTTATGGCGAATCCGCTGAATTCAACAAGTCGTCACTGGCACGGTCATTTCACGTAACTAATCTCAAAATCGCCATGCGGCACTTACTTCCTATTGCCAGTAGGTGGCGCGATCACTATGTCTGAATATTGTCATGTACACGTGTTCAGGGCGGGACTGTAATCAAGCATTTGAAGTGTGGAGCCGATTGGACAACGTACACTCAAGTTTAGCGAATTCGTGTTTTGTGACGGTCCATTAAAATTTCACGCCACCCCACAGACACGCCCCCATATCATCAACAATGTGTTTTGCATTTTATAAGTAAATTTCAGCTGGATCTGATCATCCTGCGAGGAGTAGAACATGAAAGTATAAAACGTGATACTTCCTGTTACCAGTATGTGGCGCTATCACTATGTCTGAATATTGTCATGTAGACGTGTTCAGGGTGGGACTCTTATCAAACACGTGAAGTTTCTTTGAGATTGGATCATGTACGCTGAAGTTATGAGGACGTGTTCAGGGTGGGACTGCACACTGAAGATAGGAGTACTATCTGTTTGATGGCCAATCGGTGGAATTCGACACGTCGTCACGGGCACACGGTTAAACATACAGTCACAAATAGCACAAATTTTGATAACCAATGTGTGTAGATTGAAGTGATCGACTTTGAAGTCAATCTGATCAAATCTGTAGGAGGAGTTAATTAAAACAGAAGCCCTTAAATGCCGGAAAAAGCATCACAGTTTGACATTCGATTCAAAATGGCCAACTTTGACGGCACGCCACGGACACGCCCTTCAACGTACATGAACAAATAGCACAAGTTTTAATCAGAACCATTTTTTGACTGTACTCACAAATTTTGAAGCATATCTGACAAATTCCCTAGGAGGAGTTCATTCAAATACAACGCGATAAGTTCGCCGAAAGTGATAATGAAAATCAAAATGGCCGACTTCTTGTGGGGTTTCGGGTATGGGTCCAAGAGGCTTTTTTGTACGTCCCAGCATGTTACACGTGCCTACTGAGTTTCATACATATCGGTGAAACGTGGCCCCGGGGCTGCTGTTTTTTTATCCTGTAGGGGGCGCTACAAACACGACAAACACAATTTTTAGTATGTGAGCTACAGGCACCACTCTACACGTACCCTGTGAATTTCATACTCATAACTATTATGGTCTCTGCACAGTGATTTATCCTGCCACCAGAGCGCCACCCAGTGGCCTGATTTTTTTTCCTCTTTAGGTGAGCCTCAGGGAGCCATGGGCAAGCATCCAACAAAGTTTAATTTTAATCACACGTGCCGTTGCAGAGATATAAACTTCTTCATTTTAAAGAGCGCCACCTAGTGGTGATGGTCCGATGGCAAAATTCAAAATGGCTGACTTCCTGTTGGGTTTGATGTATGGGTCCAAGAGGCTTTTTTGTACGTCTCGGCACGGTGGATGTGCCTACCGAGTGTTGTACATATCGGTGAAATGTGGCGCCGGGGCTTTACATTTTGCTTTATTAAAATTCTGTAGGGGGCGCTACAAATACGACACACACAATTTTTGGTATGTGAGCTACAGGCACAAGTCTGCATGTGCTCTGTGAATTTCATATTCATAACTATTAAAGTCTCCAGAGCGCCACCTAGTGGTGGATTGTTGACACATTTATTAGTGAGCCTCAGGGCAAGCATCGTACCAAGTTTCATTTTAATCACATGTTCCAATGCTGAGATATAAACTTCTTCATTTTAAAGAGCGCCACCTTGTGGAAATGGCCTGAAATTGTGCATGATGCCTAAGGAAGACATGGAGAACTATGGACCCAAGCTTGGTGTCAATTGGACATACCAATGTGGAGAAATCGTCCACTTCCTTTTCTGACAAAAAAACCACGGGAAGTGCTAATTTTACAACGTGCTTATTTTTTGAAATATCAAAATTCTTTGAATTACTTTATTATTTATTATTTATACTTTATTACGTAGTGCCCCCTACAGGATAAAAAAACAGCAGCCCCGGCGCCACGGTAGGCACATGTAGTATGCCGGGACGTACAAAAAAGCCTCTTGGACCTGTGACGGTCCCCTGCGTGGCTCTAATGTTTCCTCTTCCTTTTAAAGCAGCAGGTACTTGTGGGTTGGACCAATCGGCATAGCCGGAATGACACCTGGGCCCGGTGTTTCCCAGCTATAAAAGCCTCTCTGGCTGACGTGGGCTCTCTATCTTATTTCTTATTTCTGGTATTCGGAGTAGTTGTGTTTTAACATCCAACATTTACTTTTCATTATACATCACACTCACACATACACCCACTTTCCCTACTGATGTTACTGACAAACACACCTCATCTTCTATTTAGTTCTTTTTCGGGATTCTTACTTATAATTTGTCCTTTCAACTGCGTCTCCTCGTCTTTGTCACGGCTTCAGAGCCAGGTCGTGACAAAGTGGGGGCGCGTTTCGGTAGTCTGTTTGTTGGTCTGTTTTGCGCTGAAGGGTAGGTACGGTTAAATTGTTGTGCCATTGTTTGTTCCATCCTATATTTAGGCCTACTAGTTTGAGCTTCGCGCCTTGTGACACGGACAAAATTTGTGAATGGCGTGGTCGTCATAGTTGACGTCACTAGTCTTTGTGAGGATTTCCCTGGGGATTCCCTATAGCGCGGTCCCGCGTGCATAATTTCATTGTATCCAAAAAAGGGAAATCGGCGTTTTTGGTTGTGAGATGCAGTTGTTTGGAAGTGTGTTCCAAGTATTTTTTTTTGTGTGTAGGTAATTATTTTTCAGTGGACTGAGAGTTTTTTTTTTGTGTGTAGGAAATGGTAAGTTAATGCACGGTAACTGTGGTTCACTGGTGTACTGAAACTTAGTTTGACTAACTGGTGTTCCTCTGTTAGGTTCTAGAGTAACTATATCTTTAGACAGTGAGTCTCTAAGGTTTTTGGGGCCAAGAACAAGAATTTTGTTTTCTCTGAGTTTAACATCAGAAAATTGCAGGTCATCCAGGATTTTATGTCCTTAAGACATGTTTGTAATTTAGATAATTGATTAATTTCATCGGGCTTGATTGATAGATATAACTGCGTATCATCTGCATAACAGTGAAAGTTAATGGAGTGATTCCTAATAATGTTGCCTAAAGGGAGCATATATAAAGTAAATAGTATTGGTCCAAGTACAGAACCTTGTGGAACTCCATGACTAACTGTAGTATTTAGTGAAGATTCATCGTTAACATGTACAAACTGCGAGCGATCTGATAAATATGACTTAAACCAGCTTAGTGCGGTTCCTTTAATGCCAATTTGATGCTCAAGTCTCTGTAAAAGAATATTATGGTCAATGGTGTCAAATGCAGCACTAAGATCTAATAATACAAGTACAGAGACAAGTCCATTGTCAGAAGCAATCAGAAGGTCATTATTAACTTTAACCATAGCTGTCTCTGTGCTGTGATGAACTCTAAATCCTGATTGAAAATCCTCAAATAAACTATTACGTAGAAAGTCACACAACTCTTTGGCGACTACTTTCTCCAGAATCTTAGAGAGGAAGGGGAGGTTAGAAATCGGTCTATAGTTGGCTAAAACCCCTGGGTCAAGAGTGGGCTTTTAAAGAAGGGGTTCAATTACAGCTACTTTAAAGGACTGTGGTACATATCCTGATAATAAAGAAAGATTAATCATATCCAGTAAAGAAGTGCCAATTAAGGGAACAACTTCTTTAAGCAGCCTAGTTGGGATCGGGTCTAATAGACAGGTTGATGGCTTTGTTGAAGAAATGATTGAAGTTAACTGATGAAGATCGTTAGCAGAAAAACAGTCTAAATATATATCTAAGTTTACATTGGCAGAAGTCCCTGAACTTGGAGAGCCACTGATAACTGTTGATGGCAGTTGGTGATTAATTTTCTCTCTAATAGTAATAATTTTATTATAGAAGAAGCTCATAAAGTCATTGCTACTTAAGTTTATGGGGATATGTGGCTCAATAGAGCTGTGACTCTCTGTCAGCCTGGCTACAGTGCTGAAGAGGAACCTAGGGTTATTCTTATTTTCTTCTATTAGTGCTGAGTAATAGGCTCCTCTTGCGTTACGGAGGGCCTTTCTATAAGTTTTAAGATTATCTTGCCAATTTGAGCGATATTCTGATAATTTGGAAGAGCGCCATTTCCTTTCAGATTTCCTAGCTATTTGTTTTAACTGGCGGGTTTGGTGGTTATACCAAGGTGCTAGTCTCCTATGTTTTAATAATTTCCTTTTTATAGGAGCGATAGAGTCTAATGTTGATCGTAGTGAGCCTGTAGCACTATCGACAAGATTATCAATTTCAGAGGGACTAAAGTCGTTATAGGACTCTGTTAAATTCAGACATGGTATTGAATTAAAGACTGAAGGAATCTCCTCCTTAAATTTAGCTACAGCACTGTCAGATAGACATCTGCTGTAGGAAGTTTTGCCTAATGGCTTATAATCTAATAATATGAATTCAAAAGTTATTAAATAATGGTCAGATAGGAAAGGATTATGTGGGAAGACTATTAAATGTTCAATATCAATGCCATATGATAGAACGAGGTCAAGAGTGTGATTAAAACAATGAGTTGGTTTATTTACACTGACAGAAGCCAATTGAGTCTATTAATGATATAAATGCATTACTAAGGCTGTCATTGTTAACATCCACATGAATATTAAAATCACCTACAATAATTACTTTATCTGATTTAAGGACTAAGCTTGATAAAAACTCTGAGAATTCAGATATAAAATCAGAGTACGGTCCAGGAGCGCGGTACACTATAACAAATAGAAATGGCTGCAGTGCTTTCCAGTTTGGGTGAGAAAGACTAAGAACAAGGCTTTCAAATGAATTATAATTTAGTTTAGGTTTAGTGATGATGTAAAGGTATATGGCTATGGTAAAATATTGGAGCCACTTTTGCAAGACTTTAGAAGAGCATGGTGTGTTCATCTCAAAGCTTGGAAAGTGTGTTAAAGGAACAGTACACAGTGTTATAGCTGACAATTTGGGAGCCCACTCACTGGCTGGTTTTGTTGAGAGCTTTTCCGCACATTATATTTGTCGATTTTGTACTGCTGCTAAAGTAGATATTCCAAGAAAGGATGTTCAGTCAGGTGCATTTTTGCTTCGAACCAAAGAAACACATGAAGCACATGTAAAGTCTGCACAGGAAACTGAAACAAATTGCTTTGGCGTAAAGAGAGCGTGTGTTTTAACTGAACATCTCAAACATTTCCATGTTACCACAGGCTATCCTCCAGATATAGTGCATGATTTATTTGAGGGTATTGTCCCATTTGAACTGGCACTGTGTTTGAGTTTTCTGATCTCTAAGAAGTATTTCAGTCTTGAATGTCTGAACACACTAATTCTCAAATTCCCCTATAAGTGGAGTGACAAAAAAAATAGATCTCACATCATACCAAATAGCTATTCAAGTAAGAAGACAATAGGAGGCAATGCCCACGAAAATTGGAACTTAATACGATTGCTTCCATTTCTGGTTGGGGACTTGATACCAGAGGGTGAACTTGTTTGGCAAGTGACATTGGACATGAAGGAAATAGTAGAATTAGTTGTAGCACCTGTTCACACTGACGAGACAATTGCCTATCTTGATGTGTGTCAGAGCACAGACAGAGACTACTTGAGCTTGACCCAGATGGAAAGATTTTACCCAAGCACCACTATCTTGAGCATTATCCACACCTGATAAGGTGCTATGGGCCTCTTGTAGGTTTATGGACAATGAGATTCGAATCAAAACATACCTTTTTTAAACAAGTTGCCCGGCACACAAATAATTTCAGGAACATTGCACTTTCGTTGGCATCCAAACACCAGCGAATGATCAGTTATCACATACATTCATCCAGTCTCAGTACATCAAATTTGCAAGTTACAAGTGTATCCACAGTCCAGGTTGATGTTTTGAATGAAGAGGTTGTATTGGCTCTAAGGAGGAAGTATCCAGATATCAGTCAAGTTCATCTTGCAAAAAGTGTCACCTTCAAGGGAAATAATTACAGAAATGGAATGTTTGTTGCATCTGGTTCAACTGCTGGAATGCCTGAGTTTGCTGAGATTCTACAAATGTGCATAATGGGAGAGGAGTTGAGTTTCATTGTTCGTCGACTTTTTGCTTGGTATAGAGATCACTTTAGGGCCTTTGAGTTGACCACGTCACCAGGTAGAGAGGTTGCCCTGGTTCACTTTGAGGAGCTGACTGACTGCTATCCACTTGCGGCCTACATAGTTGGATCTAAACGTATGGTAACCCTGAAGAGACACATCGTCATCAAAAGTTTGATTTAGATAAGTTATTGTGCCTTGTACAAGTACTGAGTAGCTTGAACATTTCTTTTGTTGTGACAGCTGTTTAAATGTGTACATGCTAAGCACTTGTGCGTGTATATGATCTGTTGATTTGAATTTGAATTTTAACAGTAATTATTAATTAACCTTGATCTCCGCCTCAAACTATAACACTTGTGGGGGATAACACTTAATCATGTTAAAATTGTACTCACTAATAATTGTCATCTTTGTGTGTTTGTGCCTTCACTCTAGATTGATAAAGCAGGATGGCAGAACCAGTTCGCTTCAGAGTTCTTTTTGGAGGTGACGACGATGCAAGAAAACTAATCATTCAATCTGGAATGCCAACATCTGTGGATGAATTGGCTCTTGAAATTAAGACTTTCTTTGGTGTGACTGAGCAGTTCAGGCTTCAATACAAAGATGTAGATTTTGGAAATGATTTTATGAACCTTGTGTCAATTTCTGACATTCAACATCGAAGTACTTTGAAAGTGGTATGCTTGCCCTGTGAGGCTACCAGCTCAGTGATCTCCTCAGATTCACCCACTACAAACATCTGGTCCACAATACCAGCGACTCCTCCCAATGCATCTACTAGCTCCTCATCACAACAACCAACTGATTCAACATCTGTCGACTGCCATAGCAACAATGATACCATCATTTTGTCATCTCCCTCTTGGTCCTGCTCTTGGCCTCAAGTCTTTGTCATGCCACGGTTTTCATATTGTGCTGAGATGGTGCTCCAGAAGGGAAATGATGATTTTAATGCAAATGGAACTCTTCTTTCTCTTACCCCAAAAGTCAGATCTGATATTCTTGAAGGCCTTGCAGAAGAAATGATCAGGTACACAGCATATCCAAGGGATGAACAGTTTGAAGAAGTTGCTGAGGCCTTGGTAAAGACTCACCCATGTTTGTATGAGAAAGGAACTCACAATGGTTATTGTGGATGGAAACACTACATTAAGATCAAGATGATGAACTTCCGCACCAAGCTTGGCCGAGCTGGACACCCAGAAGTCATTGTCAACTCACTTAAGAACAAACGGAAAGGTCAGGGGAAACCAGCTGCGAACATAAAGAAACTCAGGAAGGCAGAGGTTAATTTCTGTCCAAGCCATCCAAGAGGTGAAATGACTGAAAGCCTAGAGGTGGAAAGGGTTGCTCTTTTGACTGAGGTAAAGAAAAAGAACAACGAGGCCGTGATCAAGGAAAAGATGCAGCGTACCTTCTCGTACAGACGACAAGAAATTCTTCAGGAGCCAATGATTACAGAGGTCCGAAACAGATGGCCAGCACTGTTTGAAGTTGGTGAAGTAAGTGTAGTAACCCATTTACAACAAACACACAAACATTGATGCAACTTGCATTCATTGTTTAAATCTTAGTACAGTCAGGTATATCCTGTCTTTTCTCCTCTCTTTCAGGTCAATTTGGAGTTCATGCGTATAACAACTGTCCCTCTGATATCAAAATTCATTGGACAACTGGACAGATACACTGATGACCTGATTAAGGTTTTCCGTGCCAAAGGAGGATCTGCAGGACAGAAAATTCGTGCCATAATGGCATTGACAGCTAAAGTAAGTGTGTTTCTGTCATTCTTACTTTTTCTCTCTTCATCCTTGTTCCCTCCTTTCTCTTTTTAATAGTTAAACTGATTTGCAATTTATATTAATTTAATGTAGCAAATATGGGTTTGTGATTTCATAGCCAAACATTCACCACCTTCTTGTTCTTGGAGACATTTAATGATGTTTGTATTAAAGAAGCTTAATACACACAATCAAAATGTTTTCTCTCATGTAAAACATTTATTATACAATCAGAAAGTGCATATTCTAATTTTTTAGTGACTCCATCAAATTCAAGTACGGCAGCTTTTCAACTTTACTTAAACTGTAAATCAATGCAGTAGCTAATGTAATTTGCTTTGTGATCTTGTTGGTATGTTTGTTTCAGAATGAAGACATAAATGTCAAGCGTGACTGTATCCTGAGGAGCCTCAGTGACTACCTCAATGAAGACATGGAGACACTCATCAAAGAGAACCAAGTAAGTGTCTGTCAACCTGCTTTCTTTATATCAAAATATGTTGGATATATTTACATTGGTAGTTGCGTTAATTTTCACATATTCATCACAATCTATGTGTGTGTAGTGTGCACTGTAGAGATTAACCTATGCAGCTGTTAGTGTGGAGCATGATGGAATTTGTAAGCCAAATGACAAACTTGTCAGCTGTAAATGACCCTGGTAAAGTATAAAACAGTTGACGGTGCAAGTATAGAACAGAATCAGAATCACAGCATGTCAGATCTGGTACAGCTAGGGGTAATTTTACTGGCAAATTAAAACTAATATCGACACTACATTTTAGTGTGAACGTTTCAGAGCAAACACTTCAGTGTGTTCCTCTAAAATGAGGATCAGTGGATCTGGATCTGAACAGTAGTTTTGAGAATGGACTCAAAGCTAAAAAATATTTTTAAGGATGCACAACACAAGTTGATTTGAGATTCATTATCTGAAATCATTTTCAGCCCTCATGCTTGCAAAATAGTGGATTTTGTTCCTGTATCAGTTTCACTCAACACTGTCTGTTGTAGTAACTTGTGGTTGGAGCGCTTGTGTAGGGATGCAGAACCATAGTAGTACTACCGGTTAGCAAATGGGAGGGCTGGAAAGAAGCAATGACAGTTAATCCCAAACAAACATGTCTTGTGCATCCTTCAAAACTTTAGCTTTGGATTGCCCCTCAAAGTCGTTTCGGTGGGCCATATCCATTTTACTCATTTTGGAGAACACTCCCTGCGAAGTTTTTAAAACCACATGCCTTTTTAAAAAATGAATGAACACAACTCATTTTCTTTGTTTATTCTCCAGGACTGCGAGTGCGCAGAGGCTGAGTTGGGGATTGCACAGACAACAATGGGCATCTACATCATTCGGGTGGATGGTGCTGATCCTGGAGACAAGATATATGCAGATGTTGGTGTTGTACTTGAAGGTGTGGAAGTTCTGCAAAACCTACCATGTGTCACCCTTGGATGCGTGATACTTTTCGGACTGATTTATGCACTTAACTTAAGCTACCCTAAGGACCTCAAGAGCAATTCAATTCAATTCAATTCAATTTTATTTGTATAGCGCCAATTCATAACAGAAGTTATCTCAGGACACTTTTCAAATAGAGCAGGTCTAGACCGAACTCTTTAAAACATTAATTACAGAGACCCAACAGTACCACCATGAGCAAGCACTTGGCGACAAGGGCAAGGAAAAACTGACTGTTAAAAGGCAGAAACCTAGGACAGATCCTCAGGCTCTAGGTGGGTGGTCGTCTGTCTCGACCAGTTGGGGTGAGAGAGAGAGAGAGAGAGAGACAGAGAGAGAGAGGGCGAGAGACAGACAGACAGAAAGGTGCACAGCAACAACAGTATTGGCAATGGCAATCTAGCAGGACCATGGCAGGAGGCTCCACCAGGATCAACAAGAACCTGTGAGACGAGAAAGCACAAGAACTCCGGGGAAGAAGTGAAGTTAGTAACATGCATTAATGGGACATGAATGAGTGCAGAAAGAGAGAGGAAGGGAGGAGCTCAGTGCACCATGGGAAATCCCCTGATTGTCTAGGCCTATAGCAGCATAACTAAGGGATGGTTCAGGATTCACCTGATCCAGCCCTAACTATAAGCTTTATCAAAGAGGAATGTCTTAAGCCTACTCTTGAATGTGGTGAGGGTGTCTGCCTCCCGAACCACAACTGGAAGCTGGTTCCAAAGGAGAGGAGCTTGGTAACTGAAGGCTCTGGCTCCTGTTCTACTTTTAGAGACTATAGGAACCACAAGTAACCCAGCATTCAGAGAACGTAGTGTTCTAGTGGGGTAATAGGGTACTATGAGCTCTTTAAGATATGAAGGGGCCTGACCATGAAGAGCTATATAGATGAGGAGGAGGATTTTAATTTCTATTCTACATTTTACAGGGAGCCAATGCAGAGAAGCTAGTACAGGAGAGATGTGATCTCTTTTTCTAGTTCCTGTCAGTACTCGTGCTGTGAATTAATTGGAGCGTTTTAATGGACTTATTGGGGCAACCTGATAATAAAGAGTTGCAGTAATCCAGCCTTGAAGTAACAAATGCATGGATTAGTTTTTCTGCATCTGTCTGTGATAGTATGTGTCTAATTTTTCTAATATTACGTAAATGAAAGAAGGCAGTCCTAGAGGTCTGCTTTATGTGGGAGTTAAATGACAAATCATGATCAAAGATAACTCCAAGATTCCTGACAGTGGTGCTAGAGGCCAAGTTAATGCCATCTAGAGTCTCTATGGTTTTTGGGGCCAAGAACAAGAATTTCGTTTTTTTCTGAGTTTAACATCAGACAATTGCAGGTCATCCAGGATTTTATGTCCTTAAGACATGTTTGTAATTTAGATAATTCATTAATTTCATCGGGCTTGATTGATATATATAACTGCGTATCATCTGCATAACAGTGAAAGTTAATGGAGTGATTCCTAATAATGTTGCCTAAATGGAGCATATATAAAGTAAATAGTATTGGTCCAAGTACAGAAACTTGTGGAACTCCATGACTAACTGTAGTATTTATTGAAGATTCATCGTTAACATGTACAAACTGCGAGCAATCTGATAAATATGACTTAAACCAGCTTAGTGTGGTTCCTTTAATGCCAATTTGATGCTCAAGTCTCTGTAAAAGAATATTATGGTCAATGGTGTCAAATGCAGCACTAAGATCTAATAATACAAGTACAGAGCACATTTGAAGTGTTCCAGAAAATCCTGATGGAACTGGACACGACCAAGATTTCACCAAAAGTCCAACCACTGACAATTAAGATGTTCCAGTGATGGGCCTGACAGTACATTTTCTTTTTATGTTTTTGGTTTACTTTTGTTTGTATTTTTTGCATGCTGAAATGAGGGCATTTCCTTTTGGTGTATGTTTTTCTTCTTTTCAACACATGTGAATGAGCACTGGTTAAGTATGTCTTGTCAGCTCCTCTTTTATCACGCTGAATGGAGGTGGTGTAGTGTGATGTGTTGCTGCCTTTGAGTTTTTTCAGTGCCCTAACTTGCCACATGCCTTGAGAAGCTTAATAAATGAATTGTTAAACAAGCTGATCTGACTTGCATTGCTTTTTCTAAGCATTTCAAATACATTGAGTTTATTATTTCAAACACATAAACTTTATGCATTTCATTTAAATTGCATAAAGTGCATAAACCTTTTTCTAAGGATTTCAAATGCATTGGGTTTATTATTTCAAGTACATAAACTTTATGCATTTCATTTAAATTGCATAAAGTGCATAAACCTTTTTCTAAGCATTTCAAATACATTGGAGTAATTCATATTGAATACAAACACTCATTCTTAAGTATTTGAAATAAATTGGATTTATTAATGATGAATACATAAATCTGTCATTGTTTATTCAAAACACACTGGATTTATGGTAAATGGTAAATGGACCTGTACTTGTATAGCGCCTTTCTAGTCTTCCGACCACTCAAAGCGCTTTTACACTACGTGCCACATTCACCCTTTCACACACATTCACTCAGTGATGGCAAAGTCCATCGAACAGAAACTAACATTCATACACATTCACACACTGATGCACGGCATCGGGAGCAGTTTGGGGTTCAGTATCTTGCTCAAGGATACTTCAACATGTGGCACCAGGAGCTGGGGATCGAACCCACAACCTTCCGATTAAGGAACGACCCGCTCTGTCTCTGAGCCACAGCCGCCCATTATTAGTATTATTACATAAATCTCATTCTTAATTGTTTCATTTACATTTGACTGACAAATATGCAGCACATAAAGTTTATTGGCCTGTTTATGTTAAATCTAAGTAATTCAAATGGATGGAAATTTTATATGCAATTGAAATACATAAATCTTATGAATTAGGCCTAAATATTTCTGTGAGTGTGTGAGTTTGCGAGGGCGACCGTGACCTACCTCGGCCGGGTGGTTGTAAATGCCAAAGTTCAAGCTGTAGAGCAGTATCCAGCCCCAACGACAAAAAAAGAGTTGATGCGTTTTTTGGTCTGGTTGGCTATTACAGAAGTTTTTGCAGAAACTTTTCAATCGTTGTGGCACCTCTCACCGATTTATTGAAAGGAAAAGCTAAATTTGCTCCCCAGTGTGTCACGAAGCATTTGAGCAGGTAAAGGTACTGCTGTGTGCCGCTCCGGTTTTGGCTGCCCCGCATTGTGATAGACCTTTTAAACTGTATGTGGATGCCAACTATGTAGGTGCAGGGTCTGTCCTTATGCAGACTGATGAACTGGGGGTGGATATGTTTAGCTTCTTCTCTAAAAAGTTCAACTCATGCCAGTTAAATTATTCAGTTATTGAAAAAGAAGCGCTGGCGTTAATTCTGGCTCTGAAACACTTTGACGTTTATGTTGGTGGTAGTAGAACACCTGTAGTGGTTTACACTGACCACAATCCCCTGACCTTTATTAACTCCTTACAGTGTCCTAACCAGAGGTTAATCAGATGGTCGCTATTTTTGCAGTCCTACTGCATAGATATTCGTTATGTCAAGGGGACTGACAACGTTGTGGCAGACGCATTGTCCCGAGCTCCCCAGGTGTGATATCCTAACTGTCCTTTGCTTGGTTGGTAGCCTCTTAAACTGCTTCCTAGGTGCACCGGTTGCTGGGGCAGGAACATGCTGCAGGGGATGTTGGACCGGAGCGGGCCACTAGTTCACCACAGATGTTATGCTTTTCTTGTAAACACGGAATGTTGGTAATGTACAGTATGTGTTATCTTTTTGGGAGTATTTGGGTTATATTGGTAAATCTTTTGTTGGTAATTTTGTTTGTAAGATTTCTGTCGGGATTCCTTTCAGGACCCCGTTCTTATGGAGGGGGGTGTGACAGTCCCCTGAGTGGCTCTAATGTTTCCTCTTCCTTTTAAGGCAGCAGGTACTTGTGGGTTGGACCAAGCACCTGGGCCCGGTGTTTCCCAGCTATAAAAGCCCCGCCTCTCTGGCTGACGTGGGCTCTCTTTCTATCTTATTATCATTTCTGGTATTCGGAGTAGTTGTGTTTTAACATCCAACATTTACTTTTCATTATACATCACACTCACAAATACACCCACTTTCACTACTGATCTTACTGACAAACACACCTCATCTTCTATTTAGTTCTTTTTTGGGTTTCATTAGGGACAGAGCCAGCGACCGGCAAGGTCCCTATTGTATTTGCTATGTTTCTTATTATTCTTACCTATTATTTTTAGCGCCTTTGACTGCGTTTTTGCCCCCCTAAACATATACAAAAAGTCAATTTTATTTGGCAAAGTTGTCAGGCCTGGTGAAAAATTTTATATTCTATGCGTCTTTTTTGGGTCAGCCACTAGGTGGCGCTACTATTTAGGAAAGTATTTTCACTTTTTTGTTACTCAATAACTTTTGCATATTTTTTCGCGCATTCAAAAAACTTATATCCACGCGTTCGGTGAATGGAGCTGAATCTCTCCATATAGGACCCGCCCACTTCCGCCTATAATTTTTTTTCGTTAGAGAGCGAAATGTCCTTGGCCAGTTGGCCAGGTTGAATCAAATGTCAAACTGTTATGCCATTTCCGGCATTTTGCAATGATTTTCAGCGTTTTTTGGCATTATATTTGAACAAACTCCTCCTAGAGAATTTATCAGATCTGCTTCAAAATTAGTTAGTACAGTCAAAAAATGGTGCTGATTAAAAGTTGTGCTATTTGTGACTGTACGTTAAAGGGCGTGTCCGTGGCTTTCCCTCAAAGTTGGCCAGGTTGAATCAAATGTCAAACTGTTGTGCCATTTCCGGCATTTTGCAATGATTTTCAGCGTTTTTTGGCATTATATTTGAACAAACTCCTGCTAGAGAATTTATCAGATCTGCTTCAAAATTAGTTAGTACAGTCAAAAAATGGTGCTGATTAAAAGTTGTGCTATTTGTGACTGTACGTTAGAGGGCGTGTCCGTGGCTTTCCCTCAAAGTTGGCCAGGTTGAATCGAATGGCAAACTGTGATGCTATTTCCAGCATTTAAGGGCTTCTGTTTTAACTAACTCCTCCTACAGATTTTATCAGATTGACTTCAAATTCGATCACTTCAATCTACACACATTGGTTATCAAAAGTTGTGCTATTTGTGACTGTATGTTTAACCGTGTGCCTGTGACAACGTGTCGAATTCCACCGATTGACCATCGAACAGATAGTACTCCTATCTT